GGCAGTGTTGCTGTCAGCAGTGTGGGTTTGTCAGCACTGATGGGGCACCCAAAGCATTTTGAGACCTGTCATCACAGCCTTTTAAACTCCGTGGCAGTTTGGTGCCAGAATGGAAAGGGAGGGTCCAAGTGCTCGCAGCAAAGAACAGAATGGCTTTCAGGAGGAAAAACTGGGGACAATTCACAAGCTCAGCAAGCAAAAAAGCGACATATAAAAGTGGGTTTGGTGCCCTGTGTGGCACTGGGTTGAGCATCCCCTGGAGCCTCATGGCCATTTCTGAGTGGATGGAACCTATGGTTGCTGTGAGAGAAGTAGTTATTAGAGAGGGGGGATTAAATTGCATTTCTAATGCATCTGCCCCCGAGAAAAAATCAGTACCTCATGTCTCAGCTTTTACCACTGTGCAGAAAAATTTGGGAGCCATGACTCTGCCCCGATAACAAGATGCACCCAGCTGAAATCCATGCTCCTTTCTCCCTGAAACTGCCATGCTTGATGTAGCCTATGGTCTGTGTGGCCCTCTGATATCCTCTTCAGAAAACACATCCCTCGTGGCTAATTTATCACTGTCGAGAAAAGGAGACCACAGAATCTAAAATGCTCTGGGAAATGCAGAAGAAATACACAGATGAGTTTTTTGAGCCTGCACTTAAAGGCTGTGGAGAGCTTTCAGTTCACACCACGCTCAGTGGGATCGCAGACCTCTTGACACATGTAGCAGCATGTCTTCCCTTCCCCTCTTGGAGCCTAAGGACCAAGAAAGTAGAGTGTTTAAGGGTCTCTTACCTGTTCTGCCCAAACAGAACTGGTGGGGGGGACTTTTGGGGAATTAATCTATCTGATCCAATTCTCTTCCCTGTTACCCAAACAACATATGTAAGAGAGCCTTTCTTCTCCCACTGCATTTCAGCTTCAATATAAAACTGTCTTCCAAGCTATGGTTTTATCCTTAAAAGTAGCATGCTGAGTAGATCTCACGGAAACCAGTATGAGCTGAAATATCTCAATTGCTTTAGGTCCAGAAAAACCTCTTGTTCGTGTATGTCACAAGGCTCTTCAGGCTGTGCTAGGACTAATTTCATTTCAGAGCAACATTGTGGCTTTGGTTTGGTTGGTCTTTGATCCTCATATACTGGCAGCACTGGGGTGTATTGCCATTTTGGGGTATTTACCCCCAGACCTTAACAGATTTCTTTAAAATTACACTTTAAGGTGATTTAGCCACTACAGCTATTTTCATTCTTTTATGGGAGTGGCAAGGTCAACACAGAGCTCCTCTGGTCTTTCTGTAACTCTGCTCAAGAGACTGTATCAACTGTACCAACAGTTTTCATGTAGAAAAGCCTGAGAGTGAAAGAAGTGACCTCAGCACTGGCAGGGAATTAACTCTATAATCTAATAGGGTTTCTTTTTCCATTTCTAAATAATGGGATTCTATTAGACCAAACTGTAGTCTCATCTTAATGATAATTTATTGGATAGCATATCTGAATTTTGCCTTTTATAAATCATTGAGAATTACAATACAGTTATATAATTGAATCTTCTCTTGTACCATTAATATTTTTAATTGTTTAGAGAAACCCCTTCTTGTTCAGAACTCACACGTAACTGGGTTTAGAAATTACAGGAAGTTTAACATGCCTATTTTTAAGTGATTAAATTTTTAAATTTTAATTACTTTTAAATATTATGTTAATTTTTTAAAAAGTATTTTTAAGCTTGTGAAGTTTTGTACAAATGATTCTGCACAATTTTGAAGACAAGTCTGGCCTTAAATTTATGTATATATCCCAAAATCTCAAAACAAAATAAGTTCTCTTTTATTATATTTGAAAGGAAATAATTAAGAATAATTAATTTCCACACTGACATTTAAATGTATTATGGGTATTCACCAGTGAAAGTATTGATCAATGAAAGTAATCAGTAGTAATAGGAAAAATTAATCACTTTTGCAGTTGTATTTGACTTCAGCTGTAGAATGTACTTTGGCCAGGATTGAAGCTGACCCCATTAATATAACAGGGACTATTAGCCACCAAAAAAAAAGACAATCAAGAAATGTAAATGAGGGAAATTTGGGAGGCCATGCCTTCATTTCCTATTAGAATACAGAAAAATAGTGAGTGATGTACACCATAAAATTTGTGATCTGCAGTTTGTAAACCCATTGCTGTAATTGATCATGAGCAGGTGATTTAGAAGAAAACACAAGAAATCTTTTGGGGAGGAAAATATTTGTTAAAAGTCTCATATTTAATAAGCAGAGATTGGCTTAGACCCTGAAGTGGGTGGGTTTATATCCAATATTTTTCAGAGTATTTTATTAATCCAGACTATACTGGATGGATATCCTTATTTAAGAGCTTGGTTCTTTGCAGAATTTAACTAAAATCTTGACCTCAGCAAAATCTTGTGTCAATGAGTCTCAGTTAGATTATGTAGTGATTGGAAGTATCTCCCTTTCCCAGTTCTAAAATTGCTAAGGCAGGAATCAAATAATCACACTGTTGTGTTATCCTACTATTTTTTTTGTCTCCTAGACAACATTAGGAGAGAACTTGAGTGATGTGGTCACTGAAAGGTGAGATTAAGTGGGTAAAAAAACAAAAGTGCCTAATTCAACTTCTCCAGTCTCATCAGTACTTCAGTATTCATATGTACAGTACAGTACACCCTCTTGTTAATACAAATAACTTTTTGACCTGTCTTGAATGATGTGCAACCTCAATCATTCTTGCCACCTTTCTGTGAATGCCACCAGATTTGATAGGGAATCAGCCCAGAAATATTTTAGGAGTGCTACATTTCCAGTGGGAATTGAATATGATGGGACTGAAGGTCTTAAAAGTCCCTCTAGGTCATCCTATTTTTCTGCAGAGGACAAAACCACCCACACTGTGTTTATCTAACTTTTCATCTCCATAGAGATATTCCTAGTGATAATTCAATCTGTGTGTTTAAAGCATCACTGTTCTAAAATAGGCAGTCATATAATGCGTTACAAGTGCATGCAGTAGCAGTAGATACAGTTTTAACTCTTTCTTCCAAATATAAGAAGACTTTGTAATTAAAAATGAAGAGACACTTGGTTTGTAAAGAAAGTGTGTAACTTTGGAATTAAAGCGAGAGAGAGTTCCTCAGATGTTTACATCCTAGATGCTGTGGCATTCTGTTTACAGTATCACTTACAGGGAGTCCTGAACTGCTTAGTTTCTGAGCTCATCCCTTTTGGTAACTTTTTAAAGATAATAAAGCAAGAGTATTTTGATAGCTGTTTCTAGAAACAGTTTGATATTGTGAAATCAATACAGAGCCATCAGCTTTTGAGTTTTCCTGGCAGCACTGCTTTGAGGAGATTATTTTGAACTAATATGTCAGACTATTTAGGTTAAAAAAAAAATAAAAAAGTAAGAATAACCTGCAGCTTGTGACAGCCTGTGGAATATGCCTGTGTAACATCGCATTAAATTTCACTAACACCATGATGATAAACTTCAATGAGAATTGAAGCTTCCACTTTACAGCAACTCTGCTATCTCTTACCTCGCTCCTCTGTACAGTCTGCAAAACTGAAGTGAAGCAACCAAGGACTCACTGGAGCTGAATTTTCCTCTACTTGCCTTGGTTCTCTGGAAGAGAGATCTACAAGCCCAAGGAGGCCACAGTGGTGGAAAGCTGCACAGAGCATCGCAGCTTAAAAGAAGGAAGCCAAGCCAATGCTGAGCCCAATTCAGCATCTTCATGGTTAAGTGGAGGGAAAAGGTTATTCCTGGCTCTGCTTGGAAATGAGCACCAGAAATAACTGCTAGATGCTGCCGCTGGCTCTCTGTGGCTCAGGTCCCTTGTCATCACAGGGAGGGAGCAGGCTGGGGAAGAGTCGGCAGCTGCTGCAGCTGGACGGACCCACTGGTTCCTGGCATGACGTGGGGTGGGTGAGCCCCCTCCCTTTGCTCTTCAAAGCGTAAGTGGGTTTTTAACAGCCCTGAGAGCACAGGTGTTTATGGCTACGTGGCTACAGGGACTGCTGCGGGCACTCTCTGAAGGAAGGGGATAGGCTTTTCAAGGCAACAAGTAGCCACAGCTCCAGCTAGGAGCTCTGGGTGCCTTATGCCTCTGAAACAAACCACCCAAGCTTTCCCAAATATTGCATCCATGCAAGAGAACCAATTCTTTTAGACACGGGTTTCACAGTTACTTCTCTTCATTAACCAAATAACTACAGCTACTCATGAACTTTATGCTTTGTTCCCTGGATAGATTTTCTCCTTAACAGAAATTAATATATTGATTCATTTTCTATAAACATCTTCCTGTGAAACAATACTGAAGTTAGGGCTTCTGAAGACCCTGTACATACATTAAACCTGTTGGAAGAGGCCTTAATGCTGATGTTAGATTTCAGACTCTTAGAAAGGTGTAGCTTCTCTCACTTACACTTCCCAAGATTGCTTTGAAATTTCATCTAATAATCTTGATAGACTATATACATTACTCTTCTGAGATGTTAGAAACAGCAAGAGATGTTGCTGGCATTTCTTTACTGCCTCTCTTTTGGAAAGGAATGGAAAGAAGTACTGCCTCAGCCTGCAATAATAGTGTGAAATAATACTTTTCAGGTGCAAATACTTTCATTTCCTTTTGATATGATAATCATGACAAGGACCAGACCAAAGGTGATTTCCTCTCTCTCCAAAGGAAATCTCTCACCTAGGAAGTGGCATCATAAGCTTCATTTTCACAACTAAAGTTTCTTGAACTCTTTCTTTATGAATTCCCCACAAATTGAGAAGATAGGTTTCCTCCCAAATCATTCTTTGGCCTACTTGATCACTTCTTTGTGAAGTACAAGGTGCAAAGTTGTTTTTCTAAGATGGAGCCATATTTTAGTATCACCCTGGATGAAGCCACCAGTTTATTTCATAACAGTTGTAAAGGACCAAATTAAACTAGTGACAGAAGCAGAAGGCTTCATGTCCCATTGTAACATGCCCTTCCTAGTGCTGCTCTGCGTCACAGATGATGAGGGTAGTCTAGAGATTAAAGTTTGAGATTCATGTTAAACATGTAGCAAAAAATTACAGACAGGTACTAGTTTAGTAGGTGTCTAAGAATTAATGGTGAGCTTAATGTGAAGAGACCCCAGATTTTTGCCTTCAGAAAGAGCTCACACTTCAGACTACAGCACTAAACTGCTGGCCTTGACTGGCACATACTCCTGCTAAGTACATATATTTGTACTGTCAATAGTGTCAAAAAAAAGGTGAGAGGAAAACAGGATTTTAACAAATTTTGAGAGTGGTCCTGCAGAGAAGGACTTGGGGGTATTGGTGGATGGAAAACTGACTATGAGCCAGCAATATGCGCTCGCAGCCCAGAAAGTCGGCCATATCCTGGGCTGCATCAAGAGAAATGTGGCCAGCAGGTCATGGGAGGTGATCCTCCCCCTCTACTCCATTCCTGTGACACCCCATCCAAGCACTGCGTCCAGCTCTGGAGATCCCAGCGTAAGGATATGGACCCGCTCGAGTGGGTCCAGAGGTGGCCACGAAGTTGATCAGGGGGCTGAAGCACCTCCCTTATGAGGACAGGCTGAGAGAGCTGGGATTGTTCATCCTGGAGAAGTCTCCAGGGACACCTTATAGCAGCCTTCCAGTACTTAAAGAGAACCTACAGGGAAGATGGGGAGGGACTTATCAGGGAGTCTAGCAATAGAACGAGGGGTAATGGTTTTAAAGTGAAAGAGGGTAGATATGATGAGATACAAGGAAGAAATTCTTTACTATGAGGGTGGTCAGGCACTAGATCAAGTTGTCCAGAAAAGCTGTGGCTGCCCCCTCCCTGGCAGTGTTCAAGGCCAGGTTGGGCGGGACTTTGAGCAACCTGGTCTGGTGGAAGGTGTCCCTGCCCATGTCAGGGGGGGTTAGTACTAGATGATTTTTAAGCTCCCTTCCAACCCAAACCATTCTATGGTGCTATGATTCTAATGGACCACAAACACATTTCATGACACCTTTCCCACTGGTTGAACATTAAGTGCAGATATTTAAAGATTGAACTCTTTAGACACACTTGATTCTTAGGGTAAAGGATTGCTTCTATTAATTGTAGTTTTTCCATTTGCTAGCTACATACTCTTTACCAGCAAAATTAATGTTTGCATTGTCATGCATTCATCCCTCTGACTCATACTGAAATCAGGAATTGCTTTTACTGTTCATGTACCGGAGAGAAGAAAGTGAGAATGTGTGCAAGAGCCACCCCAGAGCTAAATTTGGCATTAAACATCAATTCCAAGTCTTGGCATTTAAAAGAGAAGACAGTAAAACACTCAAGTTGCTACAAACACACAATGTGAATTTACCTTTGAACTCTTCAAGATACAACATGTGTTCATATTGAATTTAAGTTGGGTAATAAAATAGATCATTCTTTACTTCAACAACATGAGAGATAAACCCAACAAAAATAACAAACCTTACCCTCATGTCTTTACTGGAGTATCCTTTGATTTGTTAGGTCCTTCTGCCCAGATCTCCTTGCCTTGTGAACCCCTGAGCATCTCTCAGTGTTAAGGATCAAATGGCCCATTTGGTTTTCGCTGGTACCACCCCTAAGCAGCCATTTGTCATCTTTTTCCTTCCTGAGCTCCTGCTGGGTACCCATGGCCCTCCTCTAGCTTCTGTGCTTATAAAGGTCAGCAGCAATCCTGTAGATTACCTATTTATTTAATACTCCTTTTCAAATTCCTGCCTTTTCAGAGAGGCCAGAAAAATAAACCTCCTGTATTTTCAAATCATCCATTTCTACCTGACCAAGCAGCCACTGATGCTTATGAATTGACCCTGCCAACTGGTCTGCCACAGACACACTGGTCCTTATAAACAGTGGTACCCTATGCCTCAGGCCCCCCTTGGTTCACTGTGCTGAGGGGGCAGCCAGTACATAGAAAGCAGCAACTTGGGAAAGGATTTAAAGGTCAGATGGAATAAGTGATGGAACAGAAGTTTCCAAAAAGAACTAATGAGAAACTTAGATAGATAACTGCAAAATTGTGATCAGAAATAGAGAGGTGATCTTAGCTCTGTATGAACCAGTAGTGAGAGAGACACCGCAGTGTTTGGTACTGGCCTGGTGTCCCTTTTCCAAAGCATCTTCAGAAACAAGAGAGTGGTTCCAGCTCTGGGGAAGATATGTAAAGTTTGAGCCCTAGGGACTGTGGGAGTTGTAAAGGTTGCAACCTATTTAGTTGACAGATCAAGATGCAAATCAGTTTACAGTGTAGTAAAATTAAAAGAGAGAAAAGGTCTAGCAGACATGTAGCTAGATTCACTGCTTGGAAGCTGAAGGCATGATATTAGAAATAAACCCCAAGTTTTAGCAGACAAAGTAGTGAACTTGGTGGAAAAATAACCAAAGAAGTAGCATGTTGTCATCTCAATGTTTTCAAATCACAAGTGCATGGCATGAAATGAAAGCTGATGAGCTTCACGCAACAAGGCCTGACCAGGAGACATATCTTTAAATCACCTTTGGCTGACTGGTTGGTTTACTGGTAACACAGGTCTCGCCTTCTCTAAGAGCTTGGGGATCAGTTCAGCAGATGGACAGCACTGCAGCTTCTCCAGCAGGGACTTCTTTCCATGTAGATCAGTATTAGCAGAACTGCACTGCAGTCCACAGCTGGGTGATTCCTAGAAACAGTCTATTTACCTTTAACAAAGATTTTCTTAGATCATGAAATGACTTGGAATAAAAAGTAAAATGGCAAAAGCCACCCACATTATAACAAAATGTATATTCAAGCAATCCATACAGGCTTTTTCCCTCCAGAAAAAAAGACTGCATGTTTTGTTGCAGCATTTTAAAACTGATTAATGAGGTATTTTTATTAGTGAAACTGCACTCATCCCATTTTTCCTGACTCTTATAACGGTGCTCTGGAGGGTGGCACCCACTCCCCACACCCCAGCCGTGCAGAGGGATGCTCTTACCATATTTGCTCCTCTGACAAATCCCCAAACAGTCTTTTTTTTTTTTTTTTTTTT